GGAGAGGGAGAAAACCCCAGCCGATGCAGGGTGCAGAGCCAGTCCCCTGCTCTGTCTCTCCCAAGACTCCCTGGCGGATTTTCTCAGGCCAGTGAGAATTCAGCTGCCGCTCCCGCCTGGGGTCACAGGTCAGTTTATTCCCAAAATTGGCAAAGAGAAACACCACACGTGGCAAACCCTGAATGGCAAGCTGGGGCTTTTGTTTGCCTCTCCTGTTAGGAATAAAACTTGCTGCTTTTCCTGCAGGAACAGCAAGGTGTGTCTGCTGAGGGAGTGGTGGTGCAGGGTGGTGGGACCCAAAGGTGGTTCAGGTCCAGCAGACCAGCGCTGGGCTTCACAGACCAGCAGCCCCAGCAGGGAGAATGGCCTTGGCAAATGGATTTCTCTGCAGAACTGCACGTGTGTTTAGGCTGCTGGGTTTGCTGTGACGGGTTGGAGAGGGACTGCTGCCAGCTGATGAGATGCTTTGTAAAAGGGCTTTGATTCGTGATTGGGAATCCCTTGAAGCAGATAAAGAAGATGCTGACTCCAGGGATCTGCCTTCTCTCTTACTTCCTTGCTCATGAACCAGGTGCTGAGCCACTGCATTTACAAGTGTACAATCAGACCCTAAAGCCATCTCCCGCTCTGAATCCTGCGATCAACAGCCTCAGCCTTGCCAGGGATCCCTCTGTCTGTGTGCTGAGTACCCTGTGCCTCCTAATTCCTATTTTCTTTGACCTTTCCTGGCTCTCTTGTGAAGAAGTAAAATCTTTTTGGGTGCAGCTTGGCCTTCCTTGTAACACTACTTGATATTTGTATGCCTGAAGTGCATCAGGATTGAAAAAATCTGTGGGATGTATGTTTAGAAAGAGATTGAACTGAATTAATAGCCCTAGATATTAATGGTGGGAACTGTCTAAAGAGTCTGTTTGTGGAAATCACACACTATCAGTTTAAGTCTCCATATTCTGCCAGAAAATCCTGGGAGCATTGGGGTAGCCTCATCCTTTTATTGCTTCTCTATGACCAAAGTTCAGTGCTGGATGCTGAGGAGAAGGTCATGAGCCTTCATTTGGTGTATTTAAAAGGTGAATCACCCAAAACTGTGTCTGGGTTTGTACAGCTGTGAATAAAGGCTTCTGCTCTTGATTGTTGTTTTCTTTAGGGCTAAATTTGGATCGGTCAAGGCTGCACCTTCTCCATGGTGACCTGGAGGGTCAAACCTGGGATGACATTACCAGTCAGGTGGTTCTGGAATTCACTCATCTTTATGCAGTGTTTGAAGTCACCCACTTCTCCTGGTAAGTGCAGGATTAGTCCTGAGGAAAAGGGGGGATGTTCCTCTGCCTTGCTGTTCCCACACTCTGACCAGGGGTCATGCCGTTAACCCTGCCTGTTCCCTTTTCCCTTTGCAAGGCCCAGCTTAGCACTTTGTCTCTACAAACTCCTGAGTGTGGCACTGGCTTGTCTTCCTAGGCAAGATCCCTCCTTTTTCTTACTTCCTTGTGTGCCAGGTACTGGCTGTGGTACACCACCAAGACCTACATTGGAGGCATTGCCAAGAAAGTCTATGAGCGGCTGCGGATGTACCAGGTGAACTTCATTGCTCTGCAGAGGAAGAAGGACCCTGAGCAAGTCCTGCTACAGTGTGTCCCCAAGCACAAGGTCTGATCTGGGTTGCATTGCCTTGTTCCTGAGTTTCCTGGGCCTTCCTTTGTAGGATGTATGGGCAGCTGTGCCCCAAGGCCAACGGAGCAGGGGAAGGGTCTGGAGCACAAGTGTGCTGAGTTCCCCGCTGAGGGAACTGGGGTTGTTGAGCCTGGAGAAAAGGAAGCTGAGGGGAGACCTTCTGGCTCCATCCAACTCCCTTAAATTAGGGTATAGAGAGGTGGGGGTGGGTCTGTTCAACCAAGGAACAAGGGACAGGACAAGAGGAAATGGCCTCAAGTTGTGCCAAGGGAGGTTTAGGTTGGATCTGAGGAAAAACTTCTTCACTGAAAGGGTGGTCAAGCACTGGAACAGGCTGCCCAGGGAAGTGTGGAGTCCCCATCCCTGGTGGTATTTAACAGACAGATTAGACAAGGTGCTCAGGGACATGGTTTAGAGGTGGAAATGGCAGTGTTGGGTTTATGGTTGGACTTGGTGATCTTAAAGGTCCACTTTGATTCTGTGATTGATTCTGTGAAATGGCCTTGTTCACTGCCCCAGGGTCACGGCTGGGCTGTGCTGTCACCGTGCTGTGTTGATGGTGTGATACTGGCTCACTGAGAGCTGGGGGAAGAAGGAAAACTCATTCTATCCAGCAGTGGATGCCCTGCAGTGATTTCTTCCCCTGTGAACTTTGAGGTCTGGGCTGCTAAAATCAGCTGAGCCACAGTATCTGGCCATGTGCGTGCTGTTGGCATCCAACAAACATGAGGCAAAACATGTTGGCTTGAACTTCAGTCAAAGATACTAAAGTTAACGCGTCACTTGTCTGGCGTGGGCACTATGGGCAGGAGCACTGCTTTGCTTGCAGCTGGAGTGGTTAGAAATGGTGCTCTTCCCAGTGTTCCTCGCTGTTCAGGGGGGTTGGAACTGGATGATCTTTAAGGTCCCTTCCAACCCAAACCATTTTATGATTCTATGATTCTGTGATTCAGACCAAGCACAGGTTCCTGTGTTGTCATCCTTGCCAGGTTGACCCGGTGCTGAAGAAGCTGCAGGACCGTTACCGAGGACCTGAGCCATCTGACATGGTGGAGATGTTTGAGGGAGAGCAATTTTTTGCAGCTTTTGAGCGAGGCATCAGCATTGATATGGGTATGGTAGTACCAGGCTCCTTTCTGCTCCTACCCCTTGTGCTTCCCTAGCCCAAGGCGTGTTCCTGCTGGGGGCTGTACTCCTCCATGCCATTCCTCTCTCTCCAGCTAGCCCACCACTCACAGCAGCCAGCCCATGGACACTGAACTTGTCCCATTCTCTGCTCACCCAACTTTTGTGTCTCCTTTTCTCTATGAAAGTGCTCTTTGCAGGCTTCCATCAGCTCTCACATGCAGAGGACAATAGCCAGGTGTGTTTATTTTATGACTGATCTGCTTCTGCAGCCAGCTGTGTCCTTTTCCTGGCATCTTGGACATCACACTGGAATGCCCGTGGTGATCTAATTTCTGTTGCCCATTTCTGAGAGAACACATACAAAAGATATTTTTTTAGAGAAGGTATTTCTGAAATAATCCACAGCAAAGAATTCTCCCTAATGGAGCTATGAAAAGAGAGGGAAGACGGACAGGACCCAAACTCGAGATGATTCTTCGTGCCCCACTGTGTCTGGACCTGTTGCAACAGCCATTTTCTGCAAAACTGGAATGTACAGCTCCATTTCATTGCTGTAAATTAAGCACAACTCTATCAAGAGTAATAAAGCACACTGGTCTTTCAGTGGAGTTCATGAGGCCAGAATCTGTCCCTCTGACTTGGTTTAGGCTGGACTCTAACTTAATTTCTAGATGATTACATACATGGATGTTGTTCCTGATGATATTTTTTTCCCTTTAGCTCTATTCCTATTTCTGCGCCCACTGCAGAAACGGTGAAGAGACAGGTGACCTATTTTTGTGCATTACAGGATGCTGTTGCTGCTGATTCTGCCCTCCAAGGGGTAGAACGGCCCAAGGATGGGAGGGAAGTGCCAAGGATGGACTTGATGCCATGTGATGTCTTGCTCTGCCTTCCCTTCCATTCTTGAGCTTGATCTCCACCTTGTGGCCATTCTCCTTTCTCACCTGTAGGACATGCTTTCTCCACTGCCAGTGTTTTCTGCTTTCCCCTGTCACCCAGTGAGGAAAGAGGGATTACAATTCTTTCAGGCATGAGTAGAAGGAGTAGATAGCAGGATGGAGGCTGCTCGTGGATGATGGGCTGCTGGCCAGGCTGGAAAAACTGCACGCTTTTCTGCCCAAGTTGAGTGTTTGCTGTTACTGTGCACAGATCGTCCCGACTGCGTGGATGGGCGTCTCTCCTTTATTTTTTACTCCCATTTGAAGAACATGAAGGAAATCTATGTGACCTCCCCTGTGGACAGGAAAGGCCAAGCTGTAAAAGGCCAGGTGAGGAACCAGCTACACTGACTTTTTGTTTCCATCTTCATCATCATGATTGATTTTACAATGATCTCTGAGTGGCAGGCATGACTCTTT